TCCCCATATAGAAAACAATACGACATAGGGCTTATCTTATTTATAATATAGGCCACACAAGTGTGTTTGAAACTAAATATAAGCATTTTCATCATGGTTTTATTTATTACAAACATATTCTTTCACCATCAATACATATTGAGGCCATTCTTTTAGGTTAAAACGATCTATCTTAAATTTGTCTTTCTTGAGTTTGGGACTATTATTAGGCTTATGTGTTTAAATAACTTAAAAGGATAAACCTAAAAAATATTTTTGTGTTTTTAATTCTAATTTCGTCGGAATTGATGAAAACTCCCTAAAATGTGCAATTTATAGAGGAAATTGGCCTACCGTAACAAGAAATGCGGAGCAAAGAATTTAAGAATTTTAGGCACTTTCAGAGGATGCATTTGTCAAGTGGTGAGGAAAGATTTTCCAAAGATGGATATTTTTTTCCTTGTCCCCCGGTGTTTTTAATTCTAATTTCGTTGGAATTGATGCAAACTCCCTAAAAAATTGACCCATGCCAACAAGAAATGCCCGCGAAGCGCGCGAAATTTGAGGTTTTTTAGGCACTTTCAGGGGATGAAAAGGGCATTTATAAAGGGGTGGGGAAGATTTTTCAAAGATAGATATTTTCCCCTTGTCCCCCAGTGGTTAAGCCATCGGGCAGCATAGATCAAAGGAGTTATGACAGTTTTTGAAGTGGAGAAGGGTTGCAGGGTGTTGTGAGTCTGGTCATTATGATATCTTCCTTTCTTTTCTTTATTTATCTCTTCTCTTTTTCTTTTTCTTTCCTTTTCTTTTTTTCTTCTTTCACTTTCCCTCCCTCTCCCCTCTTTCTTTTCTCTTATTACCCAGCCCGGTACAACGGCTTGGTCAGTCCGGTAAAAACCGTCAGGGGAGGGGCAGTTTTCCCCCTCTCCCCCGTGCCTGTTACGACACTGGCTAACACGCCAATCATCCCCCCCCCCATAAAAAAACTTTTCTACGCCACTGCCTAGCCCACCTTGCTTTCGCTTAGTGACTAGTGTTTGAATCCGATCCCCATTTATGCAGTGGGTGTGCAACGCTATTTTGATGTGTCTGCGTCATCATGGTATTTTCCTGACATAATACACGTCTAGAAACGTGTTTAGACATTTGTTTTAAACTATCAGTGGCGTAGAAGAGTATTTTTCATTGGGGGGGGGGGAAGTATTTTTCATTGGTGGGGGGATGATTGAAAATTCTTGGAATTGACATAAAATTACTGATGTCGTACACACCCTTCAGTGTGAAAATGTGGCTTGCTTTGCAAGCACATCTAAGGAAAGAAGAGCTTAGATTGGTACCAGATAAAATAATGTTGTTATCAACATTAATACATTATGCTAATTCATCTTTGTAAGCGCATAAGACATTGCAAATTATTTCTGTGACAGTCTTTTTAAGTGTGTAAAGCTCCATTTTATCCCATACATAGTCACAATATTGGGGGGGGGGGGGGTGGGGGGTGATACAATGGACCATCCCCCTTGTCAAATATTGGGGGGGGGGATATATCCCCCATCCCCCCGGGATCTACGCCTATGAAAACTATATTAAGTTTACGTTAGCTAATGACCAAACTACTGAAGTAAATAAGTGGAAATACAGTAAATATCTTCTTTTTTGTTTACATAATGTAAATAATTGTAATAGCAATAGTATAAAAAGTACAGCATTAGTTATAATCATAAGTGTCCATTTGGTCTATCGTTGTAACCACCATTATGTATTATTATCTTTCTAGTCCTAATAAAATGTATTTCCAAATCATTGCAGTTGATTACTCTGATTCTGTGGAAAATCCAGAAAATTCACCAGACAGTGTAGTCATAGAAGCTGACATAGCTCCAACACCAAGTAAGTGAATAAATTACATAATAAATATGTGTAACCCTAAACCTAACCATCTGATTGGTCACAACATAAATTATTTATCGGTTCATACTCGTGAAATAATAATGTAATAAAACACATGAGTACTTTATTCTGAAGTGGTCTTTTTCAAATGAATGCCATATTAAGATGTGTAATCAAACGAAAGATACATTCGGGAAAACCACAAATATGCCTATACTTCATAAAGCGACTCATTTTGACATCGGATGTATGGTCGTGCGTGTAATTCACCAGCGAGCGCGTATAGATGTAAATGTTGTACACTCTGTATTACAACCACTCAAGAATGGAGAGATCGGGATGTTTAACAATAAATTATACAAAAGGGATTATTATTACTATTTTTTGTTTTTATGAAAGCGGGTTTTTTAAATATATAGGTTCACGGAAGCTAAGAGCGTGAGCTAAGCTTTCTTCGTACTTTTCGAATTAGGAACTTGTATTACTTATCATTAAATAAAAATCGGATGATACCAGACATACAAGAGACAGCGACATACTCGACATCATGACCTTTCGCCTTTAAACCATTATGATGTAATTAAGATAGAAATAATGTACAGTATCTGGAGACATCGAACTAACTTGGTCTTCAGACTAAAATGTTATTGCTTATGTTTCTTTTTTCTTCTAGTGACTAAGTCAGTTAACGAGCCATATTCATTTTCATCTGGCTTGTCGTATGATTCCGACATTAGCTGTAAGTCTTTACTATTATCATTTTTTACTTGTATAATTATCATCATCATTATCACTATAATAATAATAATAATAATAATAATAACTACCACTACAGCTACCGCTGCTACCACCACCACCACCACTAGGTACTACTACTGCTAGTAGTAGTAGCAATAATAATAATAATAATAATAATAATAATAATGAATTATCATTATTATTATCCTTATCGTCATCTTCGTCCTCATCAGCGTTATTATTATTAGTAGCCTACATTTATCAAATACCATTACCATTCTACCAATAAAAACTACTATTAATGTGATTATTGGTACATAAGTGAAAAATAGATATAAGTCAATCGTGACGTCATCACCGAAACTCCCAATCGTGCAACAATTTTCATTAGTAAACGGTTTGCTTGATCTTTTTTAGGTTCGTGTGCAAAAGCCATTTCAATCGGGCCATATTCGCGCACCGCGATGAATTCTAGGCTAGTGTTTTTACACCAACTACGACGCGTGCATGCGGAAAGAGAGGGCAAACACTCTCCCAATCGTCGTTTGTTGACAAGTGGTACTTGAAAAAAATGACATTCGTAAAATAAGGTATATTAGAACCCGAAAAAAGTCACTTCAAATTTAATATTATGTATGAAAAATAAGGAATTCTTTGAATCAATGGACCCTAATATAGATGTGTATAAGAGACAGACAATACGTTATTATCATCATCATCGTTATCATCTGTCTCTTATACACATCTAGATGTGTATAAGAGACAGGATTTACTGTATGGTCCCCCAATTTCAACATAAATGATCAACATAAATGATCGATACAGGTACCTGAGTCGGGTTTTCAACTTTTAAAATAGGCCTAGCATATAATCCGGAATAAAATGAATTATTTGTTTTTGTACCGTTATATTTAATAATAATAATAATAACGATTTTTAAAGCGCAAACATAAGACATATAAATGGCCTATGTCTTATCCCTTTGTGTTAATCTATTATAGAATCCTACAGTGTTACGTCACGATACCACACGATACCGCGTGATACTACTCCGTTGCTATCGTTGCAAAATGCGTTTAACTCGACGCCATTTTCGCCAATAACAAACCATTGATCCCAATATCTAACGTAATTATTAAGATGTTGTATCTTACTTTTTCTCTGTAAATTTTAATTGGTGATTAAATGTGTGTTCGATAACTAATATAATGCGAGGTTTTATGTTTTTAGTACATTTGATGGCAAAATATTAGATTTTAAAATGCCTATTACAGAAAGTCTATACAATCATTCAGGCGTAATGAACGGTACCTACGTAGGTCTTTTGTGACGACACGACTGTGGTACTCTATAGAGGCGGATCCAGGAATTTGAAAGCGGGCCCAATGAGCATGGAGGTATAAATACCTCCATGCAATGAGGGACTTTAAAAAAAATGCGACGGTCAAGATCACCCCAGCCCACATTGGGACTGAGGTAATAAGAAAATTTGTGATTATGGCACCCCACCTATGGCCGGAAATGGCACTTAAATTTGAATATAATTTGCTCTTTTTATTCCTTTTTTCAAAATAATTTTGAATAATTTAGGGGCGGGGAGTGGGGGAAGCTGTCCCCTTCAATAAGCCACTGCTATCATTACTCTTACGTTTTATATTATAAGCGGGGTCAAGTTATAAAAGCTCAGATTACAGCTTATCAGACTGCTGGACTGAAGTGAATCGATGTCGGAGGAGGGACAGTGGTGGCGCATGTAGCAAATCGTTCTCAACTTTTGAAATTGCTTGTTCGTGTGATGAAGACGAGCCATTTGCATGCGCATCGGATGCTCCAAAATGCCAGGAGGTAAAATGCAATTCAATAAATTTAAAGTTAATAAAAATATAAAAACTAAATATATATTTGTTGGTTACCAAACAAAAATGTACACATTTCATTTCATTCATTCATTTAGGCACTCACATGTGCCAAGAATTGTTAATAGCGAATAATATGTTACTGTAAATGTACTGTATATTACTTGTAGGTGACAATACCTTTTATATGACAAACACACACACACCCACACACACGATGCTTTAAAACAAACTAAGTCTCGTTATGAGGCTTGGAGAACGGAGCTGTTTTAGCCTGCAACACTGACAGGAATTGAACCAGAACCCTGAGAATCAAAGGCAAGCATCTTACCACCAAGCAATTCAACTCCACTTCAATATCCTGCTGATGATTCTTGATCAATATAACTATTATAGTGCTATTCATGCTTTAAGCTTGATTTCATAAAATCGGTACATGCTGTCGACAGTTTGCTAATTGGTCGTTCGAATCGGGCGGCTTCACCGATTGGGTGGGGATATTGTAGCAATAAACTAATTCATAGTTTGAACTGCGCATGCTCGTTTCTGTGTCAATCGACATAAAAAAAAACACATACACACAACATAGGTTTATGTTGATTTACCTTATATTAATGGACATACGCAGTTAAAACTACGAATTGAATTATTGCAGCTTAAACACTTTAACCAAATGTAGGGATTTTATGGAAAACCAGGCTTAAACTGTAGTACAGACTCCAACTTTACTCGTTCTAACAAACAAATATTTATTTCCATATTTTGTTTACAATTACAGGTGTGCCTATTTATAAAAATTTACGTTGTTATTATTTCCTATATAGGCAAGAAATCTGTTAGAAGCATTTAGCTTGGTTAATTGCGACTGCCCAGAAGACATGCGTCACCGAAAAAGATGTTTATTTGTCTACGATAAACTTTTCAACAACCCGTGCGTTGATGGTAGGGTACTATTGCATCTGAATCTTATTATTATCATCATCATCGTTATCATCAACAAAATATATTATATTATATTATTATTATTATTATTATTATTATTATTATTATTGTTATCATTGTTATTTAAATGCTTGATGTGTTGTTGAATGAACATGGTTTTCGAAAAAAAAGTTTTTATATTATTATTATTATTATTACTATTACAGTCTCGTTAATAACAAATATACACTTTTCTATATTTATTACAGGATGCAAGGACTATTTTGTGGAACCAGATTCGGCATTGAATGGTATATAGATCGTTCTTCTAAATCCAGTTATCTGACAGTACTTTTCATCGTTCAATTAAATTATGTTGTATACAATGATTTAATTAAATCACGAAGTATGGCTTGAGCTTGTTTCAATTGTATTCCAAAACTTGAAATTGAAATAAAGTGGTATTTACAGTATACTTTTGTCAGCTATGAATAAATCGACATCCAATCACAAAGAGGAGAGCAGTATCGTAGAGCGTAGCCACATTTACAATGCTACGCTCTTTCTGACTCCGACTTACGAAGTGTCTGAAAAAAAAAAAAAACACCCACGTCGTTTTGATGTGACAATAGAAATTTAAGTAACGTGTCCATTGTTATGAAATGAAATCATAATTAAATCATCATTGTATTATTTAATTTGACAGGAAGGATTCTCCCGTACCAGGATGCTATATCCAAGTGTACCGAAGCGGAGGAGGGTGGATGTATCGATTATTTGGTAGAACTTTCTGCTGCCTGTTACAGCAACTGTTCCCAGACTAAATGTCAGCAGGCAACTGGAGATTTTGTTAAACACGTTGATCCACTGATATCCCAATCAATCCTATTCACTGATTGCAATGGTTCTAATAGTGGGCCAGATTGTGTGGATACAATTTCCAAAGTCCATCAGAAGTGTGCAATAACAGTGACACCGACACCTAATTGTTTGGAGCTTCCAATCCGATGTCAAGGCATACTTGGTTGTCGGTACGTAATTCCAATGATTAATCGTAATCTGCTTTATGTTTAGAATCTTGAACATGTGAAACTCGTTCACAAAACCTACTTTTTCCAGATACGTATGCTACCGGTATGTTTAAATCACAGTGAAAACAGTTGATTATATAGCTACTTATTCATGTGTATATTTATCAAATTTTGTAACAATAGGAATCAAAAGTAATTTGTGCTAAGAAATATGAATGATTATGTGAAACTGCTATAAATACAGCCACATTATTTTATAACTGCGAACTAAAAAGCGACACTATATATATATATATATATATATACATATATATGTATATATATGTATATATATGTATATATATGTATGTATATGTATATATGTATATGTATATATATATATGTATGTATATATGTATATATATTATGTTTACATGCTTTTAATTTGTCAGTACGTAATTCGAATTACATACATACATACATTATGTTTTGAATTTGTACAAATTCGCATCTTTGTTATTAATTTTTTAGGAAAAAGTTTCAGAATTTTGAGAATCAGTGTGATCCAAATAGATGTAGTCAAGATGTGTATAAGTCGTGCCGTGCCTCATATACTGCTCTATTATCAACACCTATTGCTATCAACTGTACGTGCAATCCAGATGACGTACATTTCTCACAATGCCGGGTGTTTCAGCGACGCGTTTTGGAGAATAGTTGTGTTGGTAAGTTTTTGAGAAGTAAGCCATTTTGAGACAAATAACTAATAGTTAACAGTGACAGTGATTTAGGCCTCGCAATGTAAATTCAGTTACAGCCAAGCATGTTTTCATCAACGAACATTCTAAAGAAATTTTAGGAATGCTACAAGCTTCTAAAAAACGAAAGGTCTACAGATAAATCTAAGATAAGAAAGTATAATACATAGTTGGTTGGATATATTCTGTGTAAATACCAAGGATAGCCCACGAAAGTTTAGAAGCAGACTTATTTCCAGTGGGGTCCTTCTGGTGGTGATTGGGCAGTATACCGGGAGACAATCCCCTACGTTCTTTAACGTGCACATGGTCCATAAATGCACACGGGACCAACGGCTTATACGTCTCATCCGAAGGACGGTGCACAATTGTAATAGCATTTGTATCACCAGTTTCCATAGTAATAAGCATTTGTAAATCACAATATATAACCACTACTGTATTTAACATTATAACAATAGTTATCTATCAATACCAATGCGTAGGTACATAACAATGTACATACCTGGATTTAAATAAAAACTAACTTTGGAGGCATTCACAAACAACAACATTTCCCGGTTGCAAACATGAGAATACTACCCTATAGGCCTACTGATACTCGAATCAAATATAAATCAATTAAATTATCAACCATTATAAGTATAGCAATGTATAGAGGTTACGATTAGCAAAATACAATGATCAATATAACAATTCATTAACATACCTGTAAACCTATTCAATTAAGTTTACTTTACGTTGCCAAACCGGCAAACCGTACAAGGAGAGGCAGCCATGGGAATTTATCCGGGGACATCTCCACGGTTCAGCGCACACACAGTGGCTACCACCAGATTAGCCGACTGAGCTAATAAGCTGCTCTGACCGTACTCCAAGTATTGAAATACACGCCATCGTGTTGGGATTCAGTATTTTCGACATTAATTATGTCATCATCATGAATCTTGACACGACACGATGACGATGTTGTCTCCTTTATTCAGGCTGGTCAAAAATTTGGTTCCACGTTTTTAAAGTTGTATTTATATCTTTTATGTCTTCCTGTTTGTTTGTTTTTTTTAATCAATTGTATAAACGTTTTAATTCGTATTTACCATTTATTTTCTCATAATTATTCTGTTTCCTTTGTTATTAATTAAATATATACGGTATATATATTATATTTGTTAACTTATTTCTTTGTTTATTCATATTTTATTGTTATTTTACGTTTGTTTTTCTTTTGTTTTTCTGCTATTTTTTAAATTTATTTAGTTAATCTCATTTTCTTTGTTTTCCCCCCCCCCCGCAAAAAAAAAAAACATTGAAATACACGCCATCGTGTTGGGATTCAGTATTTTCGACATTAATTATGTCATCATCATGAATCTTGACACGACACGATGACGATGTTGTCTCCTTTATTCAGGCTGGTCAAAAATTTGGTTCCACGTTTTTTTTAAAGTTTTATTTATATCTTTTATGTCTTCCTGTTTGTTTGTTTTTTTTAATCAATTGTATAAACGTTTTAATTCGTATTTACCATTTATTTTCTCATAATTATTCTGTTTCCTTTTTCATTAAATATATACGGTATATATATTATATTTGTTAACTTATTTCTTTGTTTATTCATATTTTATTGTTATTTTACGTTTGTTTTTCTTTTGTTTTTCTGCTATTTTTTTTATTTATTTAGTTAATCTCATTTTCTTTGTTTCCCCTCCCCCCCGCAAAAAAAAAAAACATGCGTCATATTTCAGCTGTCCAATCATATTCCTAAATCTCTTCGTATTCACCCTGAATTCTGAACTCTATAAATTGATATTTGTTTCTTTTAAATTCAGATAGATCGATACTCTCCTTTCAAGACCCATCATTTGAAAAAAAGAAAGAACATAGCAGTAAGTACACAATAAGCCCACGAAAATACGTTGGCATAAAAGTATTACATGCACTAAACATTGTATCTGATATAAAAAATTAATATATTTGAATATGAATGTGCGGAAAAAATTAGCTTTCAATAAATTCCATTAGTTACTTGTCTGAATGATTAAAAGGCAGCACTCTGAGACTAACTTAGAAGTTATTTATTCAACACAAGCTTTCGCTGGCAGTCAACGCCAGCTTCATCCGGTGTGTCAACCCTTTAACGAAAAGTTCCTTTATTCAGTTGTATGAAAAAAAGTGTTTCTGTGGGGCTTCGAACCTGCAACTTCTTGCTATCAAGGCGAGTGTCATCCGTTAGACCACGGAGACCTATGGTATACGTGCAGATCTAACCCTCAGGCACTTTCTCTCATACAACTCACAGAAACGCTCACACATAGTGGAGCTATGGTAAATCTAGGTAAGCTTATAGGTCGCAGATTGGAAATCATAGTAAATAATATTCCAATTAGTAAATACAATATAAACTATTATATATTCAGTCAGACAATTTTGGAGACAGAATTTGACCATAGTACAGTAAAAAGTATATCTTGTATTATCCTTAAGAATTGTTCGCAATAATAATAATAATAATAATAATAATAATAATAATAATAATAATAATAATAATAATAATAATAATAATAATAATATCTGTAGATAATATTACCAATGTTTAAAACTTAGCTCTTTACGGGTTTAGGCCTATATGTTGAGCTATTTAATTATTTAAAAAAAAACATGCAAATGTGTTTTATTTTTATTGAAAACGGTAAATGAAGAAAATAAAAAAAATGAAAACTAATAATTGTCATCTATTAGTACAGTTGATACAGTTTAGTTGTTAACATGTTTCTGGTTTAAATTCTTGTTTTTTTCACTTTTTATTATGAACCGCTTTCATTCAATTTTCAATGTTCTCTTTTTTTGTATTAAAGACCCAATGGAAATATGTTTATTTTTAAAATTTCTTTGGTTTTATTCAGATTATATTGCCATTTGTTTCGTTGTATGGTCTTTTTGTCGTTTTATATTGTATTTTAAATCCGAATCAACCTAAACTAAACTAAACTATGTTTCTGGTCTTAGAATGCACTGTGAAGCTTGATGGAGACACCAGTCTACTGCACATCAAAATGGACACTGTTATCCGGGTAAGATGCCATATGACGTCATTCAATATTAGAATTATATTTTATCTATTATATAGAAGAAAACTAATTGTTGATATATATGAATTCCTTAACTATAAAGGAGGTGACTACGCAATTCTATGGGAACTCTTATACAAATACTGTACATAGAACAACATAACTAGTTCTAAACGCACTGATACTCGAACACGAGCATTCCGCCAAGAGATAGTAGCCTAATTCAGTTTGTTTATTGTTATGTAGGCTTAGGCCTATTTGTTACAAATTCAATGCAGTAAAATTAGTGAAAGGATCTTGTTTAAATACTGGCAAAGTGTTTGTCGAACGTTTACAATGGCTAAGAATCCAAAAATGTCTGTGGCCACAACTGTACATAAAATATTCTTTGCTGAGTTGCCTATGTTTTATTACTCAGGACCAGAAATATTATACGAACATTATAATTAATTTGTCTGCTATATGGGGAAAAAATACGATACATAATATATTTTATATTGCCAAAATCTAATAACTTACTTGAACATACAGAGTAATTATATTTACTTAAGTCAATTGCTAACAATTTCACGTTTATTAATAACGTTACAATTTTTATAAAAATTACGTCTATTATCATAATACTATTATTACAAACAAAAAATAAAAGAAAAATAAAAACTATATATACGGTGAGTGTTGAAATGTATATCTTGTCTCCCTCAACAGACCATTTTTGAGACCGGGATTTTCATGGTCTTTAGCAGCTTTGGTCTTTTAGAAAAAAAAATATTCTCATAAAAATGAACAATAGATGTTCATTTAGCGCCGTAGAAAAGTGGTCTTTATTTTTTATGTTAGGTTGCAGGTTAATGATAGGCCTAATTGACAATTTAATAATACAACATAACGCGCCAATGAAATTTATACAAATGTGATGTTATTGGCTGTGTTGCTTTTAATGTAAGATAAATTATAAACTAAAATACATTAATCCATAATAACAATATGTATAACGTTAGAACACCAATAAAATTATTTGAAAATACGATTTTGAGCAAAAGCAGTATGATATTTCTAACCCATCTTTTGTTTTTCGGGCCTAGCCAAGGAATCTATTTTACTCTGCATCTACTAATACAAAATGTACAACTACTCACATTTATGAAAATCACGTGATTAAATTCAATTGAGATAAATATAAAATAGTTACCGGGTATTTTAACTATAATTCTAACAATGTTTAATAAACTATTTTATGGGATAGACTGTTGATAGACAATCTAACAGAGGGCGTCTTTTGTTTTCGTAAAAAAAAATCACCAATTTCTTTTTTTTCTGTGGTTCGTGATTTTTTGGTGTTATTCTATGACATAGAAAATGGTGAGCTGCAAGGAAATGGTATCTGTACATGCTTTGCTGGTGATGTTATATGTTCGAAACCAAGATACGGGATTGATGCAGATCAACTCGACAGTAAGTAAAACAATACAGGTACACATTAATATAAATTTACTTAGTTATAGTAGGGAGATTTCGCAACCTTACGAAAAAGATAACGAATACGAATACGTCAATGTCAACATTCTTGACATATACTGTATGAGCTAAGTGATCCTTGATTCATACAAAAGGCATGGATCGGCTACGTTGTGACAGATACGTTACTGTAGGGGAATGGGTTTCTAATAAATTGATGACGTAACTGTATTCCTAAGCTTGCAAAAACTCCCTGTTGTCAAGCGCTCTCTTTATGACATTATGATATTTGTCAACCTGGCGATAAGTTTCTTATTGACGAGCTTTTGTATACATAGGCCTAGCTCTACAAATCTTATATTTTTTTTATATACCAAGTTCACATGCACTTTTAGACGAGAGAGTTGATACACTGACAAGCCTGAACCCTCTGCAAAAACGATGAAGTTGGAGTTAAATTGCCTCATACTATCTGTCATTGTTGATTGAGACCGCCGATCATGGTTGGTTTCATTCAAAGGCCCAAAATGATCGTGATTCAAACATTTTAATGCCAATTTGTATGAGATAAAATCTTCTTCCTACACATACATCAGTAGGCCCATATCACGTCAGATCTCAAGGCTTGAATATACATATATACCATACATCCAACATAGCAAGAAGTGCGTCAATGCAAGAAAAATATCTGCCACACATGCTACGGAGTATTATATAGCATTTATGGGCTGAGAGCCTCTGAATGTCACATGAAAAAACTCAACGAATCTCAGATTTCTCACTAACCTAGAGTTATACAAATTTTCATATTCATTTATAATCAAACGTTTATTCTTAAAAGTGCAAGAGTTACATGAACACAGGTTATGGCCACTGCTCCTCAGACCTTGCTACATCTGCTAGGCCTACTCCAATCAAGACCTGCTCTGAAGCCACCTCTAGCCATGGAGTCTCTACCACTGACATTAGGAGATAATTTTGTTATACCTTGTTTAGCTCGGAAGACTTGATTGTTTTCTTATTCAGAGATAGGTTTTGTTTTTTTTTTTTTTTTTTTTTCATCGAAGTATAATACAAGTACTATTTTCGATATTCGTTGAAAAAAAAAAACAATCTTCAATAAATCTACACTTAAAGTATCAAATATTGAATGTTATTTTTTGAATTTCAGATGGACAAGTGTATCTTTTTATAGGATACAGTGTAAAGGAATACCAATATATCAACGAATACACCGGTGTGCAAATGTCGGATGCGGTGTTCCAGAAACAGCTACAGACTTTACTTGATGAAGAATCGCAACCCACTTCTAAGGCAAGTCCTACTACATGCGACACTTGGTTTCTTCAATTTAACCACGATTTCCACGACGGGGAATTCGATGTCCCCGGTGGGCGTCGACAATTTAGGGGTTTCAAAGGCTTATTTAATCGGGTTTTTTTTAGTGTCTGCTAATTATGATGTAAAAAATACATATAACATTTTCCCCCGACGAATTGTGCATTTATTCCCCTACTGAAGGGGGGTGGCAGCTCTCTCCAAAGAGGCTTCCTCCACCCCTACATCTACTGGTGCCACATGATAAATTAGTTAATATACTGATTTGCGCATCCTCAATTCATATTGATTAACCTTTATCCGATACATCTTTTTAGTGTAAACTTGTTTTAGTTCCATTGAAGACACACGGTCATCTAATGTTCAATTCATTTGAAGAGGGAGATGACCGTAAACAGGTACGTTTACGTATTTTGTACGGTGATATATAAAGCTATTTGATTGGTTATGGTTTTCCATGATGATGATGGTGATGATTATGGTGTTGTTGTTGTTTTTGTTGTTGTTGATGATGATGATCATGATGATGATGATAATGCTGCTGATGATGATGATGGTGGTGATGATGATGATGAAGATGATGATGATGATGATGATGATGATGACGGTGATGATGACGGTGATGGACGTGGTGATGATGGACGTAATGACGATGATGGACGTAATGATGAGGGTGATGATGATGACTGTGATAATAATAATTCTGATGAAAATATAATATCCTGATGATTACAAAACTGATAACTGATATTAATTATTAATGACGTATGGCTGATGAATAATGAATAAAGGTAAATGACAATGATGATGACAATAAGTGATGACAACAAAGGTGATGGTAAATTTTGATGATGATAACGATTAAGATGATGATGATGATGATGATGATGATGATGATGATAATGATGATAACAAAAAAGATAATACTTTTTAGAAGCCGGTGACTTGTATTGGTGCCTTGATGCAGTTGGCCAGTATGATAAATGGTGGGATGATACAACTGTTCACGAGTCCAGTGCTATCGGTTTTGAAAGTAGCAAGCGTAGACCACCTTGATATGAACACCAATCGCCCTCAAAGTTTAACGCAATCTTCAGGTACAATTCAACACCTACCTCGATGCCTTTCTTCGTGCATTGTTCTATTAGCAATTATAGTAGTTTTAGAATGTTTGCAATGAGATTAAATTACTGTATATACTTACCATTGTTTTCATTATTCTTTTTATTATTATTATTATTATTATTATTATTATTATTATTATTATTATTATTATCATCATCATCATCATTATCATCGTCGTCGTCGTCGTTGTTGTTATTATTATTATTACTATTATTATTATCTATATTAACATTTATTAACATTGTCTTCGTTATCATAATTATCATAAGTATTGTTATATTTTAATAGTATTAAATATTGTTTTGTTGTCAATGATTTTTGTTTTCAATAAATAGGCCCATCATTTTTATATACTTTTGAAAGAATCGTTTTACATTTTCATAACATCCATTAACAAATATATTTGTTTGTGGAGCAAATAGATCATTATAATGTAAATATTTATATTTATTAGGCTTATGTTATAATATGTTTATTCATATTTTTATTATCAGTATCAGTAACGGCTGTGATATTTTACTTAATTGTGTAATTTGTCAAGAGTATACAGTTATTAACAATATTACGCATTAAATGCCAAACATATTTTACTATTATCATCGTAATCTTAAAACAACGTTGTCGCAGTTGCCGTCGTCGTTGTTGTCATCATCATCATCATTATATCTCCATCATCACCACCACCGCCACTATCGTCGTCGTCGTTATTATCTCTTAATTATCATCATCACCATATCGTCATCACCATCATCATTATTATTATTGTATTGAAATACTGAAATGTACTCTTGTTGTGCCTATCATTACTATAATATTCTTGAATTTTTAACAATCATTTTTTTCTTTTAAGAGACTGTGAATTAAGTTGTTTTTACATTTCAATAAATAAGAGTCGTACTTCGCAGCAAACTATTGTAACTATTTAAAATTCTATTTTTGTATTTAAAACTGTAAATAGGCTATTGATGTGTATAAGTATATAAAGCTACATCCATTTGCAGATTAAATATTTATAAGTAGGGCTGTGTACAACGATATATGCAATCACTATATTTTACTTTGTAAATTCTAAAAATACTCTGCTGCTAAAGTAAATTTTATAATAATAATGGTAGTCGTTTACTTATGTGAACACGTCATAATTTAGGCTAAGCCCGACAATCTGACATTCGACAAACCTGGTTTCTAACACACTGGAATCGGCAAAACTGGTATTCAAGCCGCGTTGGTACACACTTGCATACGTTTGCTATGATGCGCGCCAAATTTCAAGTTTACTACTTATTGATACCGACTGTGGTACTACTGGCAGCTGGAATAGGGTTCCTTGTATTTGTGTCAGCAATCATTTAAATTGCTGTAGTGAGCACCGTAGCATGCTTGAAGCTATAGGGTACTAGATCTCACTACTAGGATCTCATAGCATATCGCTAAGTTTTACCAGCTTCACTTGATGCATAGAACCTTTGCTAAGTGATGATCAGATCGACGTGATCTCCGTAAATTTCTGTATGCCTATATGAACACGTCGGAGAAGTTAGCAAATTTACATACGGTGTCTTTGTTATACGTTGCAATTTTGAAAACGGCATACTCTCACATGGATACATGGTTTGCTAAACTTAAATGACGGAACATAGGTTGTAAATAACTTTAATCAATCAATAAAAAATAATTTTTATGGTGCTGTGGCATACGATATAAATCATACTAATACTTTTGGTTTTGTATATCTGTCACAATTTATACCACAGAATAATTATATGTATGTCGTTAAACGTTTTAATAAAAAAAAAACCTCCTTAACACGTTTTTATTTTGCATGAGCTTACCATACCTTTAAGCCTTTATATGTACGTTAGTACTCTTTTTTTTTGTATTTTCTCTAATATATGACTATTATTCCTATTTTCCTGCATTTCTCTTTTATTTTTTCTCGCTACATTCTTCTTTCAATTGGATTTTGCAGACATCTGGGAATTACGAGAACGATTGCAATCTCTCTACCTTTCCAACCAGTAAATGATTTTAGTTGTGTTCACATCTCATATTTATGTGTAATGTGCCGTTTTGGAACAAGTGATTTTGTCTTAGCTTTCTTCACTTAATGCTGACAATTTTGTCTGTGTCTGTAGCTTTTTTAAAGGGAGCTGTCGATTTGTAAGATGACGTGATAAAAGTAGAACGGATTCACTCACCCGTGACCGTCCTGCGTTCAATGCACAACGCGTCCTTCAATTCACGCAACTCATACGTGACGTCATTAGTTCTTACCGTCGTCGTACAATCGAAAGCTTCTTAATGTAGAAATACATCCCGTGTAATGCATGCGAAGAATAGAATGTCAATCATTCAATGGCTACAAAACAAAGTAGACTCACTGAAATTACATTGTTAGTGAATCTGCGTAATTTATGACGTGTTTTAAATTGGTGATTATAGCATAAATTCTACCATAAACCTAAATGAAGAATAGGCCTATTTTGTGGCATGACTATCAAAGTACAGTATGCTCATGAAAACAAAAATTCTACCTGAAAAGTACTTATAAGAAAGTATAATACATACTCCAAGTATTGAAATACACGCCATCGTGTAAAAGTACTTATTTAATATCTATTTGCAAAAACAAGTAGGCCTATTTAGAAAATTTGCTGCTACTTTTTGTTTATTAATCCGTTTTGTCTCGATTGAAGCTTGCTTTGCCCAACTCTCAACTTAATTAGTGGTTGGTAATTAAGGTACGATTATAATCATTTCGGTATAAAATGGTCCTGCGAGGGTTGATTAAAATACACTTAACGTTAGCTTAGATTGTGGTGTTAATTAGTTATCCCAAAGTATTTTGTCACGAGTTTTCATCACATCAGTGCATTATAGGTTCAAAGAGAAATCCCTCATAGACATCCTAATATATTTATCCACAATATTTTTGGATGGTTGGGGGGGGGGGGGGGTGGTGTTCTGGTAATATTTTGTTTCATGCTTATACAAATTACGAGAAACAAAACGTTCGTCAATTTCGGTAGAATTTTATGTTTACTTTATCCTACCCCTATTTCTTGCCTAGTGTGCCCTGAGGTAAAAAGTAAATCGGTGACGTAATGAAGTCCTTATGTAGTTCAAATAAATATCTAGCATTATCGTCACCACCATCCGTTCGTCCGCAGTGTATGTATTTATGATTATTGCTACAGTTGTTTTGGTGTTTGTGCTGTTGATCTCTCCAACTTATTTATTTGGGTTCATGCATGATAATCTATAAAGATGTACTGTGCTTTTTTGAGAAGATTTCTACGTAAATCAGTAAACCAAATTACTTTATAAAGCGTATATCAGTATTTGAAAATATTTAGATTCACGAATGTACCATAATCCTTTTGGCGTATCCCACTCATCCTCATTTTCAGTATGGTCATCTATGCTCTCTATGATTGGTTGCAATGTAGCGCGTAGACTCATCTCTCTTTGACGCGCGCACGCTTACTGAAGTTTACAATAATGTGCTTATGGTACATTCAAATAAAGCCTGGTTTCCTCAAAATAGCTACAAGTGTTTTCAGTGCAATCGTTGTACTTAGCAGTCCCCGACACAATCGGAAAGGGATCCCCAAATTGACCGACCAGCATCGTCAAAAGCTGTCGGCGTTAGCGCGTGTAGCGATTGTATGGAAACCAAGCTTTAATTGCTAAACGTATTTTAAACCTTGTACAGTTATAGCGTTTTCAGCAAACTATTAATTATTTGTGGAACACTGCACTGTCCACTGAATAGTGAAGAAGATACATTATCTCGAACAAACGAACAGCATACAATAGACTTTTCCGCTAAACCCGGACCCTAGGATATCGTTTCTGAGGTCCCACAAAGGAGTGTAAAAAAAAAGGCAAACACGTGCGTTTGTGGGACAACACGTGTGCTTGTTAACACGCGCGTTCTCCTGGCCCTGCATGACTGGTCAGTTTTACCAAAGAACTTAAATAGCAGAAGAATGAGCTGTTCCGCGTATTTGCATTAAAATTGATGGAACATCCGCCCTCTCGCGAATAGGGTAAAATTTGAACATTTTTACTAAGTGGAGAAACTATTGGAAACAAGCGAACAAGAGCAGCGCCTTTATTATTACTATATAGCGCCGCCGAGAGAACGGGGTAAAATTGCTCTCCGTGTACCCACAATGCCTTTCGAACGGATGTTCCACTACGTTGGGAAGCTGCTCTACTGCTTTTTATTATCTTTGGTTTTACACCCCGGAAAGGTCTATTAAATTATAAAGCGAGTTTTATTTAATTATTTAATTGATTGATTCTAAAAATTGACTTGAATCATGTGTGCAATAGGCAGCTTAGTAAAACATTTCATTTGAAACATCTCAGTAAGAATACAAAATATAAGTCATTTTACAAACTTCTTGCTCAATAAATATTTGCAATAAAGTTTCGTTTTTTTGTCGAGCATTTTTTTTTTATTGTACTGAACTCTAAATGTGAATAACCCAAATATTAATGTGAGCTTTCCCACCAATTGTTTTATTCAGAAATATGTACAACAAAATCTGCACATCTTTTTGTCGATCTAAATATATAAATGTTTTACATAATAAAAACATACTAAAATGCATTTCAACTATTATTGGTCATTAGGTTTCCCACTGGGACGGCAATAAAACCATTGATATCGAATTCATACAACTGACACATTATGTTGAAAGACTACGACTAATGCGATTTTCTGCATTTCAAGAGAATTTATAATTTTCCATAATTCAGAACATTTATAATTTGAATACATATAAGTGTTGAAACTGATGAATCATACGGTAGACGTCGATGTAAGGGGAAGGTCCAATGCAAGCAAAATTTAGAGTTTTAATTTCATTCTTCAATCAAAATTAACGAGAAAATTGAATAACTGTGTTTGATAACTTTAATTGATTTTACAATAATATTAAAAGCTTATAACATATTTTATGGTAATGGTCAATGCTACGTTTTATAAAGAATGATACCCATCCGCACACATAAAACATATGACGACGATCCTGAGGACGTTGAAGATGATGACGACGACAACGTTGGTGGTGGTGATGAAGGTGGTAGAAAGAAATGTTGATTATATTTGCGATGCTGGTAGCAGTGATGGTCATAATGGCTGGTGGCAAGTTTAGTAATGATAGTGGTGACCATGCGTGACGATGATTTTCCACGATGGTGGTGACGGTGGTGGGGAAGGCGATATTTGAGATGATGATGGTGACGGCGAAGTTAGTGACGGTGCTAATGATGTGAATGGTGATGAAGACGCAAAAGAAGGTTAATTTGGAAACAGAAGCTCATAGTATACTTTTCTCTTTTATACAGTATAACATACACACACACACACACACCAATTATCAAATACATATTACTCATCATGGTACTCCAATCCACATATATGGTACCTTATTTGAACACAATATGGCATACATATTAGTACAATAAAATTGAAAGAATGCAATAAAAATTAATAAAATAATAATTGAAAAACTATCCAATGTTTTCCTGTTTTTGTTAAAAACTAGACAAGTAGAATATTTAAAATGGAAAAAAATATTAGTAACGATGATGATGATAATCATTAATAATACTCTCTAGTTGGATGATGATGATGATGATGATGATGATAATAATAATAATAACAATAAAGGCACCATATAAATGCCATTATCTTAATAATAATACATTATTAATACCCCCTACTACAATAGTTCGACATTAAACATTAAAACAATGGTAAAGAAGGATATACATAAACAGTAGTAATATATTTTTAAGTACTCGCAGTAATTCATTTACAGAAGAATCAATAATAATATATACATTTATTTATTCCGTAATCTTTAAAATAAATTGGACATGAATATACTTCTTAAAGCCACTACAGGTCTCCCTTCAATTGAAGACTATTTCTGGAACCGGGATTTCTTGGTCTTTAGCAGCTTTGGTCTCTAATTAGAATAATAAATATAAAAGACATTAGTTTACTTGGGAAAAGTAGCCTTAATTTGAGAGAGACCTGTAAAATATATATTTTTTTTTAATTCTTTATGAATATAATATAGGTTAGTACTGACATTTATGTACATAATAGATACTATTTTTTCTTAAAAGGTTATTCAACATTTACAGTATATTATTCTCTTTTTATTTTTCATTTACAATATGGTAATTAAATCTAAGATACCCAAGATTGTAAGACAATCATCCATTGTGAGTGGCCTAAACAGCTGAGATCCATTGTAAACCTTCGGTTCTCTGTTCAATTGCATGTACTGCTCTCCTTGCGTTTCAGCTGGAGGGCTGATAACCGGTGTAAAACAAAACGGATTGTCTTTCGGAAGAGACGTTTAGGCTGTTGGTCCTGTGTGCAATATGGCGAATGTGCATGTTAAAGAATGCAGTACACTCTTCCGAAAAGAGTTGGGACTGTCTCCTGCCTAATTACCACCAGAAGGACCCCACCAATTTGATCACCTAATACATTGCACAGCCAAAATTTTACTCATCGTGTTTAGATCCCACCTCATGAGGTATCAATCTGGGATGTGATATCTACATGAAGTCCGTTGCTGCTCAGATCAATCAGAGAGAAGCTAATGTGTCATATCCTACGATATGGCTAGTGCAATAGCTGTATTGTGATGGGCTCCTGTGTCTTCGGAACTTTTGAAAGACTATTATCTATAATCCTTTTCCATATGCCATAACAATTTGTATGGTTTGTGAAATGCAGAGAGATGAAAATAGAAATTATGAAACATTCTTGAATATTAATTACGAGACTAGGCATGCTCTATAGTTGTCACAAACCTGCCCATGACAGGCTATGTGTCTTTATAGTAATCAAAAGTCTTCTATTTGGAGGGAGAACATTAATCCAGGATGGATCAACGTGTTCACTACTACAAAGTCTTCACACAACCGAGATTCAGACCAAACTGAACAAGAATTCAGGTTAAACTCTAGTATTCAAATGCATGGATGACTCTAGGCCCATCGTCATTTCAAATCGTAAGCCTCCTTAAGAGATTGCTGTAGAAAGCATCAGCACTGTAAGATGAAACTCAGTTGCCCATTGCATCAATGATTGTGTACTCGTCTTCTTCATCACTCATTACTCCATCAACAACTGCATTTGGTCTGCTGATCACAAACTCCTCTCGAATAGCATCCAGTTCTTCCAGTTCATGCTTTAGGATGAAAGTCAGTTGCCCATTGCATCAATGATTGTGTACTCGTCTTCCTCATCACTCATTACTCCATCAACAACTGCATTTGGTCTGCTGACCACAAACTCCTCTCGAATAGCATCCAGTTCTTCCAGTTCATGCTGTAACAATGACATATTATTTAATATGTCAATAATAATAATAAAAATGATGGCAGACTTATATAGGCCATTTTCGCGAAATTTGAAATGAACATTTTTGATAACCTGGCAACTCACACTGGGGAATTTCAGAGGCCTAGCATTTCGCTCTACGTAGTTACCATCATGGATTAAATCAATGATAAATCTAAATTACTAATGAGCACAAACATATTAAAACGGAAGAAGCATGAAATCTTTATATTAAAAACAAGTATTAAAAAGCTATTTCAATGTTTATGTATACAGTAATTAGGAAAATCTTATGTGCTGTCTACTGCTGCAATAGCAAAGGTCTAGCGGTGCAATCCGCTGACCGGTGCAATCCGCTGACCGGTGCAATCCGCTGACAGCCCCCAGTGAGTTACGACATGTTGGAGGCGCTGTTTCAAAATAAATCCAATAAAATGGTCTATAGCACATATGATAAGCCCTCTATGCACTTCACATTATCATTACCCCGGCAGATTGGGTTGGATTTAACGCCTATGGAGCACAAAATCAAGTAAGTTTCATCAGCTAATCAGCGCATTTTGGCACCCTACCAGGTATCCACTTATACTCACGGGCGGAAAGAAACAATGCAGATAAAGTGCCTTGCTCAAGGATAAAAGTGAAATGCACAGCAAGGGATTGAAACCCCGACCTCAAGGTTGGGAAACCAAACCGTTCCCGCCGCGCCAAACCACTTCTTATCACAATTTTATCTTAGCTTTATTAGCTTGCAAATTCCCACCTGCCCCCCACCACTTTTAGTACAAAAAACCTTCTACAATCTTACCAAAACTTGTGTTCTGTGAAATTGCCTCTTGTTGTTAATGAGTCGTCTTGGAAACGGGTTCAATTCATAAAAGGCAATCTGAAATGAGAAAAAAAAAAGGAAATTTACCAAATACCATGTGAATTGGTTTAAATGTTCTTCTACAGCACTATATTGACAGGTATGGAAAACTGTTGTTGAAAAAATATTAAAAACTAACTACCTTCACATCAGATCTAAACCAAAATCTGGACCGAATTTTTAATACGCTGAACACCAGCGTCCCTATTCTTACACACTGATCCGATTTCTTAATCAGTTTGGGGGGTCTCCCGATCTGAATGTTGGGATTCGGTGCGAATTAATCTTTACTGCGTTATCCTTACCTGGGATAAACTTTTAATGTCTGTCATCGTCGAAGGCATTTGCCGGAGGAAGTTGAAGATATCTATATATCCAGTCATCTGCAGTAACTTTTCTTCATGGTATTTAAAAAACGCTAAGGCAAAACGAAAGAGCACCTTGTTGCCTTCAAACAAAAATGTGTCCCAAACTCGAAGCATTGTCTTAAAAAAACAAAGTTAAATATACATCTAAAACTTTGCTTAAAATATAAATAATTACATATGGATTATTATTATTTAATGATTTAATTAATAGGATAAAGATCATATGGTCATATATAAGTAAAATTAGGTGAGACTTTATTTATACTTTGTTTAGCATCCTGGAGGAAGAGATATTAAAATTAAAGTTTTATTTACATTGATTAAAAATGTGTGCGAAGTAAAAAAAAAATAGAAGATGTTCTTTTGCTTTCAATGTAAGGCATAGGATGAAAACAGTGTAGTGGGATTGATGAATGCTTTAAATTTATATAATTAAGATCGAAATATAGATTTCTTATTTTGGGGAATTTAAAAGCAGCAGAGGGGGTAATAAAGATTTTAAAAATTCATTGTTTCTTAAGTTCCCATTTTCCGTTCGTGGAGGGTGTGCTAAATGACCAAAAATAACTTTTATTTCTATTCAAAAGCACCACTATCATTGAGTGGAGGGTTGACAAGGTATAATACAAGTCATGTATCATCCACCATTGTAGCTTACCTCTGCTGGGATGTTGTCACAGAATATTGTAATAAACCAGTTAAAAGTTACTAAAGAGAGATCCACACTGCAATGCAAAGAGAACAAAAATATTTACTAAGTAAAGTCAATCTTTTGTTGGGACGTAACATTCCAATTTTTAGTGTATGTTTTAATTGTTAGTGTATATTAATATCATATAATATCCATCATTTTCTATTAGTGCCCATGCTGCCACCAACAAATTTGTTTGGGCAAAAAGCATGTGACATACCCTTAAAATATGGTTATGACATGACATGACTATATATGGGCATACACCAGTTTCTTTTTTGGTCAAAGAAAATTTGATATTATCGACAGTTTTAAGCCGATCCATACTATCAAATGTTTATTTAACAAATATGACATGCCTATATATAGGAACATCATGACTATATATAGGAACATCATGACCATATATAGGAACATCATGACCATATATAGG